CGCTATTGAACTTGACGCGCACCGACTTATACTTAACGCTCGTTGCATTCTAAGATCCCGGCTTTGATCTAACGAGACGCGTTTGTAGTTTCCAGGTATTAGATGGATCATGTCGTTGATGATAGTTATTAGTAGACTGCCGATTTAGAAAAATTGCACATTGCAGAATATACATATAAAAGTCCGAGGATATAGAGAATCCCAAAATTGACCTTCATATTGTGATTTTCGAGGCATAAAAGAAATTCAGATGAGAGACTCGAAAGTGAATTATGATATCTTTCACAAAATCATCTTTCAGCGATTGACAAGCACGTAACCAATCTTCGGTACATGGAGAATAATCGCTGACACTCATTTCCTCGAGGTTTAATGAATCGGTATTAAAACGTACTCGTTAAAAGCATGAAACCCGACAATATCTCTCGTTCGATCTCGCGCTGGGTGTAGCATTTAAACAAAATTCTATCGATTGCAGCACCGGTGCTCCATAAATCAACCAAGTTTTGACGCGCTCGCTCTTATTACTGTACTCACCATTTCCAACCGATCGTTTATAACATTCTGTTTTTTGATTAATTAAAAACACAATTTATCAACAGTAAAATTATTGCATTTTATTATGAAAATAATACATAATATTTTTATTCATCTACATTTTCGTCAGACGTTCACTATCAATTCTCTCTATAAATTAGAATCAACCTGTTTACGTAGATAAAATCTGAGAACAGATAATTTATTAATAACTGAATTACCATTTCTCAGTGCATTTTCTTCTCACTGACAAGAGTTCTTTATTTATACTTTACCGGAACATATTCATTACCGATTCCCCCCTGCAATCAAAATGAAATCAATTATAATGGCTCGGGTCGAGAAGAATTCGAGAGCGATTCGAAACTCGGGCACGAGTCGTGAGAAAGCGCGAGTCTCGTTATCGGGCGAGCCGATCTCGCGTTAAGATTTAGCAGGGGTGAGTGCAGAGCATCGGAGCAGCCTGCAACCTGTAACCGGTTCGCGGAGGGGGAGGTGCGTGTGGCGTATGGTTGAAGTTAAAAGAAGAAGACAAAGGGGGCGACGGTGAAATTAGAGGAATGTCAGCATCGGTTCGCGCCTTGTCCGCCCCTGGCTCCTCACTACATTGTGGTTTGTTCTTCCATGCGAGCCGCATCTGGTCCGCGGTTAAGCCAACACTACACCGATCGAACGCAGGACGTTAAATTTTTTTATTGCTAAAAAAAACACGATTTTCCAGTACGGTCATCCATCCTCAATTTATCCGAGTCTACTTTTTAGTGTCGAAATTATTGGTTGCTCGCAAGCATGTTCAGAATAACTAAATATTGATATTAAGAATTTTTAATAATGATATTGATATCATGAGAGCTTATAATAAGCAATAACGATATTGACATCGAACACTGATGAAATTAATGGAAAGAAAGCAGGAAGGGCACTGGTTCCACGAGGTGTAGATTCGGCTTTAAAGCGCAGTGCTCGCAATGAGAGTAAAAAAAGCTCGTGGAAGGAGCCTCGGCATTCGTTGCGAGCTTGCTCGCTCAGCGCCGAGAGGAGAACCTGGCCTAAGCTGGCGAACGGCATGGCAGACGCCTCGGTGGTCAATGAACCGTGGCACACGCTCGCGCCCGAGCGCAACACGCCGCGCTACACGCGTCCTCCGCGCCGGTATCTCGTCTCGTTATTACGCACGATACGACCCACTGATGGATCGATCCAATCGATTCGCGGCCTGAATAAAGGCGTGATCCTCTTCTTACTCTGCTTCTGGCCAGTTTTCCTCACTGCCGATGATGGCTAGTATTGCCTCTTCTTGCTTGGACCAGCTATCCAACAGATGAGAAGGAAATGGGACAGGGTGTTTGGTAGATGAGACGGGCTACTGGCTTCACGTTTTTATCTTACTACAGTCGCTGTTTAGAATGTAGAATCAGTCATAAACAGTTTTTGTTTGTACGAAAGTAATTCCAGTTTTGAAGTGCCTGTTTGTGTCGGAATGAACGGGTAATCGGTGGATCGATCAATTGATAGCAATTTCTGATTCGGTAAAGTATCTCAGTAAGGAAGAGAAGAGCAATAAATTCTTAACTCGAAATAAAAGAGAAGTGGAAAAGCGATATGATATAATTTGAACATATAATAAATAGAAACTCGAAGTACATATGTATGTACGTGGATTGTCACAGAGTCCACATCGAGAGCGAGATCGTGTCGGAATGCATGGACATAAGAATTTCCTTGTACCGTTCGCGATGATTATCGAGAAGCATGCTCGTTCATGCCGAGTACATAGTATGGACAATTTCGTGAACAAACTATGTAATGATAGACCCTCCTTAAACGTCTTTCAATTTTCTCCCGCATTCCTCTCCCAGCCATGCGTCTCTAATAACGTAGGACAAATTTGATCGGACTACCTTATCAAGTCATCTAACAAACTTACCCTTAGGTTTCAGGAAACATGCATTTCGTGAAAGTTATCTAACCACGAGTGCATTGACCTGCTTTTAGAATTCGTTCTAAGATAAATGACATCAATCAAAATATTGTAATCATTGAAAAATGAATTAAACATTTTTTTTTATCTATCTCATGAAACGACATCGAACATCCATTACCGCGACGTCACTGTCAGGCGACGCATCTTATTACCCGCGCGTCAGTTCCTATGTCCCTTAGAACATTACACCTTTATCCCGGCGAGAGCATCCATCTATCAGGACGCGTTCCGCGTAACGGCCGGTGGACTTCATCAAAATCTCTGATCGACTCGCTGCGGGCCTCCCGACCGAACGATTAAGAAACTTCAAGAAGACTAATCGCCCAATACTGGGTCCTGTGCGCGTCTGCTTCGTTGGAAAACTCTTAACAATCGCCACGAGGGCTAAAGTGCCATCAAGGGTTTCAAAGCACTCTATGGGTCTTCCTCTTTCACTTCCTGCTCGTTAGGTCTCGCGACTGGGAACGTCTTGCAATGTCTATCTGATCTGGTTAATATCGAAACTTTATAGGAATTAAACTTTATTCGTCTGTTTAACAATACTTGAAAATATGTTGTAAAGTTGTGTTACAATCGTCAATGCCATGTATCAAATTATTAGAACAAGCAGATTCTTATTTTATAAGTTTATAAAATAGAATGAGCTTACACAATTCTGTTACAATATTTTTATCTTTGCCATAGCTTCTATTTCTAATTGCACGCATTATAATATCCGATTGCCATATTTTTGAAATCTCGGATATCGTACGCATTCTTTCTACAAGATTTCTTCGGGGTTCATAAAACGCCTTTAACGAAAGTGTCAAAAATCTCATCTATCAATCGAGACTCAGAAGAAGTTGCCGTCAGGCGAACAATGGAGGAAGAATCGCGGTGCGAAAAAATCGGATGATGCATGGCCATCCCCGCGGCGACTTCCGAGTCCTCCGGAGGTCCAAGCGTGCACGTACAACCGTGGACGTTAGGTCCACGCGCTTCGAGACGTTCTCTTCCTCTCCTCGGTTCGGTTGAGCGATAGCATCGTGGTGACCCTTGGAGCGGTCGCCACGAAAGGGCACGCTTGACCCATCCTCGTCGCGCGTCGTTGTCCATACGGATATATAGGTACCTATCGACGCGATGGCTCGACGACGAGGCGCGTCGTGATCGCGCCTTTCAGGGTCAAAGAGGAAGATACGGGTTAGGGTAGACGCGGGAGAGACAGTAAGTTCAACAGCCTGGATAAATATACCCCTGCTCGTTTCTTAAAACTGTGAAATGTATAATTAAATAAAATTATAAAAATACGACTGAGCACATGAGAAAATCTGTAATACTGTAATTAATAATTACACTCAGAATTTATGTATTTGTAGAAAGCCTTAATCGGCAAGAGCAATTCGTTATACTGAACAATTTTATTTCCTTGAAATTCTCGTGCGAAATATCGCAAGCTATCATCGAAGATATAATTTAACCGGATACGAAACAATTTTGTGAGATTCGTTCCCGAGATCCGTGGAAATTTCGTTCCCGCGAAACGGAGCATTGAGGGAAAAAAGAGCAAGCGAGATCGTCACCGCGTGAAACCAATACTTGGGCTGGGTCTTCTTCTTCCTCGCCGCGGGACATCGTCAGTAAATTGCCCGTGCAAAGGGAGAAAATCGAGGCCGGGTGTACTTACCCGTGTGATGTGCGCGCACATCAACCATTTGACACCGTAGTTAAGAAATCCTTTACTTGGAATCAGTGTCATTTATTGATAATTTTCAGAAACTATCAAAACAAGTTTAAAATGAATTTCATAAACGCGTTCGTCCGGATTTGAAATCTGAAACGTATTGTCAGTTCAAAGTTCAAGACGTTTAATTCAGATTTGATGGGGTTTCAGGTTTCTGCACATTGAATGCATACAATGACACCGCGGATTTTAAACAAATGTCACTGCATATTTATTACGAATATTTAAACGTATGAGCGAATAACTATGCAGTATTTAAAACAAAATAAGACGATAGCTTAAAATGCGACACCGTGGAACAACGTAATCCGTGAAAGAACGGTATCGTATCCACAGAATGGCATATCCTCGACGTTCCTTCGAACGAAAATGGTGTGGCTGATCTAAATTGAATAGGCATCTTGTGATGTAGTGCGCGACGTTATCCGCCTCGAAGAAGGGAACCGCCCACGATAAGCTCGAACGGTTTCACGTCTCCATTCGAACGTTTACGTGTTCCCGTGCGCTCTAACTATGCGATCGACGCGTTCAAGCCGCTGTTATTGCGTGAAGTACAAGAAAACCAGTCGGGATAAGCCGTAAAATGTAAAATATGCTCTAGTCTCGAGTAGTTTAATCAGTTGTCGGAGTCTCTTAACTGTACAGAGTTGATCGATAAAGACAAGTCACGCCAGACAATCATTGTTGTATTGATAGAAGCAGAGGTTACTAAAGTATGGCAATCTTATGGGAGTTGACGATCGACTTGTGTTTCAGCATGGAAATTCAGCATTGCATGAAGCGTCCTGGCGCGGATATAGCAGGACGGTGGCCGCTCTGGCGAAGGCTCTTGGGACTCAGCGAGCACCCCTACATGCGAGGAATCTGGCCGGATTTGCGCCGCTCCACCTTGCCTGCCAAAACGGCCACAACCAAAGCTGCCGCGAGCTCCTGCTGGCGGGTTGCAATCCGGACCTTCAAAACAACGTGAGTAATAGCCCCATCCACCATTCCATTTCGTACAGCTTTCATAAGCCTTACATGTTTTAAAACGTTGAATCGAACAAGACATTACAGGAGTATGAATATTACGATATTTTAATAAATATAAAAATTGGCAGATTTAAGATAAACGATGAAATGAGAATCGTTTCTTTTCTTTCATTTAAGGATGTATTGGCTAT